GGCCGCGGCAGTGAGAGGCCCGCGTACCGCAAAAAAAAAACAAAACAGCTAGATCGGGCTTCCCTGGTGGCGCAGTGGTTGAGAATCCACCTGCCAATGCAGGGGACATGGGTTCGATACCTGGCCCAGGAAGATCCCACATGCCGCGGAGCAACTAAGCCCGTGTGCCACAACTACTGAGCCTGTGCTCTAGAGCCCATGAGCCACAACTACTGCAGCCCGTGGGCCTAGAGCCCGTGCTCCGCAGCAAGAGAAGACACCACAGTGAGAAGCCCGTGAACCGCAACAAAGAGTAGCCCCCGCTCGCCACAACTAGAAAAAGCCTGTGTGTAGCAACGAAGACCCAACACAGCCACATATAAAAATAAATAAATAAATTTAAAAAAACAGCTAGACCGCCAGCACCTCAAGGGCAGAGTCTAACAGGGACCATATTCTACATTTGGTGGACATCTTTCCTTATGAGAACATTGCCACCTAATAGTGCTTCATTGTTCAGATGTGTAATGATTCGGCCAGTACCCTACTTATGAAAATTTGGAGTATGGAAATATTCCAAACAAATAAAACCGGGCAAGTTTTATTTATTTTACTAAAATACTGTGATAGCTATCCTTATAAATCTTTGCTTCCTAGAATAACTTTACTCAAAGAATATACATGTTTAAAATTTAGATAAGGATATTGCCAAAGTGCTGCTTCCAAAAGGATGTAAGGATTAACACATCCTCTAACTACTGGGAGAGTATGTTTCCCCTACTCTTGCCAAAACTGGTTAGTATCAATCTTCATAACATTTGCCACTCTAAGTAGAGGATTCCTATTTTAGCATTTATTTTTAGTTTGAGTTTTAGGTGTTTGAGGCCATACAAAAACTTTAGGTTTTTATGTAGATAAATTATTAATCTTTTCCTCTGTGGCTTCAACTATATGTCCTTCTAAAAATTTTATCATTCTGTTTTGTTTAAATCTTGAATAAGTTGGAGTTTATTTTTGCTGTAAAGTTACTTTTTCTGACTTTAATTAGTTCTACAATTGATCATAAAGGTGAAATGCTGGACATCCTGAGCTCAGGCCAGACTGGTTTTGAGATGAATGGGCATTCTTAACAGTTTTGTGTACGTGCCATTTCAGATACAAGTCCTGGTTGAAGCTGACCACTTCAAGGTTGCGGTCAATGATGCTCACTTGTTGCAGTACAATCATCGGGTGAAAAATCTCGGGGAAATCAGCAAACTGGGAATTTCTGGTGACATAAATCTCACCAGTGCTTCGCACACCATGATATAAAGGGGCAGATACTTTTTAAAGAAATGAAATTGAATGTAAACCTTACACATTTAAAAGTTTCATGTTCACTATGAGTGAAAAATTCTACCTTTATTCATCAATGTCCTTCTTGCAAATCATCCATTTAATAAAGAGTTACCTGTCTTTATATGTCATTTAATTGGGGCAGTTTATTCTTGATAATGCGCAATGGACTCAATGGAAAAGGACTCAATGGAAAAAGAAATATGTAGCAACGTTAATACTGCATTAGAGTCTCCCAAAGTTTTCAATATTTGCTAAACTATTTTTTAAAAAGGAGGGACTTCCCTGGCAGTGCAGTGGTTAAGACTTCGCCTTCCAATGCAGGAAGTGCAGGTTCATCCCTGGTCAGGGAGCTAAGATCCCACATGCCTCATGGCCAAAAACCATAAAACAGAAGCAATATTGTAACAAATTCAATAAAGACAAAAATAAATAAATAAATAGGAGTAAATACTACCCCCAAATTAACCTCTCCAACAGATGCTACAAAGAAACGGTTCTATTTTCTTACTTCAGGAAACATAATATATTCAGGAAATGAGAAAAGCAGAAAGAAAAAGTTTACATATAGGCGACCCATAGACAATTACTGTTAGCATTTTGGTATATTTCTCTGGACTCCTTTTAACTATTTCATCTCTCTAAACTATACTTCACTGCTTTCAAATCAGTAACTGATACCAGTATCAGACAATCTTCCCGTGGGTTCTTTTGGTTTTATGAAATCTCCAGATTTGTAGAGGGAAAAAAAAGTAGGTTTTTAATTAGAAATGTAATCAGCTTGAAAAAGTTAATAGTTCCCATTGTTAATACTCTCAACCATGCCTTTCTGCCCTTCCTCATTACCAGCAAGGCCAAAGACTAATATAATTTCAAAACCAGGGTGTGTTCACATCACCTCATTTTACAGGAGACCAAATATTATTTGATCTATTATTGTTTCTACAATACCATCTTCTCAAGTATTTTGTTGCCACAGGTTGGGTCCCCCGGGAGGCAAAGAGATTAGAATGCAAGAGGTTTATGAAGGAGTGCCCTTTCTCTCAACAGGTGTGGAGCCGAGAAGGCACATAATTAGGCAAGAGTAAGAAGTTGAGCATCCATGCCTCAGCCTACACTATAGGGGTTATGAGCTGGGATGATGTTTTAGAGCTGTCAAGAGGGGGATGCCTTCATATTTTCACTTCAGTCAGTTGATACAGGCCACCTAGGAAACAGTCTGATCTTGGGTGAAGTGGCTTTCTTCACCTGAGACAGTTCTCACACGGGATGACTCCCAAGGACTGTCTGCTAGCAGCAGTTATAGCAACTAAAAAAAATGAGTCCTTCAGTCCTAAAGTGGGATGTGAGCAGCACATCACGTCTCATTTCAAAAAGTATGTTAATTCCTTATTCTAACATTCTGATCTTGACTGTTCTACTCCAGTGATTAAACAGAAGAACATAGTAAGCTATGGAGAAAAAAGGGAATTTGGTTTACACAAAATTACTTAAATCCTCTGAGCCTTGGTTCCTTTGTAAAACGAACGGTATAATACATTTTATAACACATCTTTTGTCTATAAAATGGGTTACTATGACCATTGAATAAAATATTGTTTGCAAAGAGGTTGTCATATAGTAGGTCCTCAATAAATGGAAATTCCATTTTTTTTTTTTATTTTTGGAAAGGCTCTTGTTCTACCCAGTTTTCTTTCATTTTGTCTTTAAAGATTTTCTTAATACCTCATAATTCTAGAGTCCAGTAGCCTAAGGACACTCTCTCTAGTTGTAGGACACATTGATGGCTGCCTCCCCAACTCATTCCCTGCTTCCTAACAGTCGTGGTTTTACCCAGGTATAATCCCAGATAAAATAGGGAAACCTGATTAGTTTAAGCAAACCCCAGCTGATCTGCAGATGGAGATGTGGCATTAGCTGGCCTAAGCAGACTAAAGGGAAGGACACAGCTCTGATTACCACTAGCAACCATCATGTAACTCCAAAAGGACCCAGCTTTAGAGACACTGACACCAAGGATGCCAGAATGAACTATGAACAGATGTTGGACTTCGATGGCATCATTGAACTGTTGATTGTTAAAGTGCCTGAAATCACCCTGACAACTTGTGAAATAATAAATTTCCTTACTGTTAAGCCAATTCGAGTTCAATTCATTATCACTTAATAGCCAAAAGCTTTCTAAATGATTCAATAGTACATCTTATTAAACCTACCAAAAAAAATCATGTTTACTCACATTGTTTTATTCTCATCTACTTTATCCTTGAGGGCAAGTATTATTTTATTGTTATGTTGCATTTTTTAAAAAAATTTATTTGGTTGCGCCAGGTCTTAGTTGCGACAGGCAGGCTCCTTAGTTGTGGCTCCAGGGATCCTGAGTTGCGGCTCACCAGCTCCTTAGCTGCGGCACACGGGCTCCTTAGTTGTGGTATGCATGTGGGATCTAGTTCCCTGACCAGGGATCGAACCCGGGCCCCCTGCATTGGGAGCTCAGAGTCTTACCCACTGCACCACCAGGGCAGTCCCATTGTTGCATATTGCTTTATATAGATTCTAAGTCTTGGGTTGCTTTGTACCCATCTCTTTTACATGTTCATGGCCCTGGACCCTTAGAAAACCCTAACTTTTACATAAAATGTTTCTTTGTTCTGAATGTCTTGCTTGAATTATTCATTAACGGGCTGTTAAAGCTGCTTTTATATTTTGTTAAGACTAGGCATTCTGAGAATATGCTTCTAAACCAGCACCTCACATAGTCTCCTAACTGCTCACGTGGGCTTGATAATAAATACTGTCTTTTCCACAAGCCTAACATACCTTCCTCTGACAACAAAAGTAGATGTGCTTTCCTTTCTTGTTTGGAAACTCTTCATCTTAAAGGACTATCCATAAAGTTGCTGCTTGTTTGGTGAATACCTCGAACACTCACCTCATTTGCAAACAGAAATAACTGGATCCAGGTCTGGTGACAAACTTTAGCTACAATCAGTCATCTTGGTGCTCTGTTATTCTGATCACCCTGTCTTCTACAAATCCTGTAGTTAAGAGTTTTATAGGGCTTCCCTGGTGGCGCAGTGCTTGAGAGTCCGCCTGCCGATGCAGGGGACGCGGGTTCGTGCCCCGTTTCGGGAGGATCCCACATGCCGCGGAGCGGCTGGGCCCGTGAGCCATGGCCACTGAGCCTGCGCGTCCGGAGCCTGTGCTCCGCAAATGGGAGAGGCCACAACAGTGAGAGGCCCGCATAACGCAAGAAAAAAAAAAAAAAAAAAGAGTTTTATAAAAGAGAATATATTTCGAACACATTAAGTGATTGATATAATTCTCTTTAAGGGAAGGCAGCATTTCCTTCAAAGGCTATCAGTCACGTCAAGGGGAAAATGAAAAAAAAAATACAAGAATTTAATGGGAACCACTTATAATTTAACCATTTGAAACTGCAGCATGTAAACTGACTTCAGAATCCAGAAAGCCCATCTAAAGAAACTCAACATACCCTGGAAAATGCAATATGCAAAGCTGTTCAACATCAACAAATTTAAGAGTTCAAATTAAGAATAAAGTATAAAGGAATGCAAATATTTCTGTCAGAGTTTAACATTGTATTTTGATTAAATGAAAGAATGTTCATAAGCTCTGAGTAGGTATACTTAACATTTAAGCTTATACATTTTAAACAAGAGAGGCAAGGCACAGTACATTTTTATTCTGCATGGTTAATATACAAAATATCCCCACTTCCCTTGAGAAACAGTATCATATCTAAAACATACTTTGATGAACACTGAATACTGAAATAGTATACAGTTGTTCCTCAGAATCCTGGGGTGGGGGGTATTGGTTCCAGGACAACCCCCCCACATACACACGCACAGATATCAAAATTCAAGGATGCTCAAGTCCCCAACAGTAGGCCCTCAGTATACGGAGGGCTGCTGTATGACACTATATAAATGGATTGAATAGAAGTGAACACAAATACATATTCTTCAACTTTTCAATATTCTAAGAATATACCACAGCACTGATAACACGAAGAAAAATGTCTGGATTTATTTTTAAATTCAAAATTCTTCTGGTTGATCTCCACTGAGGGGCTTTAGAGGTGAAAACGTAATCAGGTTACCACCAAAGGGAATGTGTCTGGTATGTTCTTGATGTCTTCTTTCCACCTGAGTGAATGTATTACTGCAGTTTAGGCCTGGCTAGAGAATAAATTTAGAGAAGTCACTAAAGTAACCATCAAGAGTTTCACCGATTAAGTTTTCAACATTGCAAATTAGTAATGGATTAATAATATAAATGACATTTCTTATACACAATAAAAAATTATTAATAACATGATTATGCTACTTTCCATGGATCTAATTTCAAACATATAGTTTTTTTTAATTGAAAAGCATATTAGGAATATATGCCTTAAAAGGTGATTAGTAATATGTAAATGGACTTCAGCAACATATGCAGGATGCATAAAACTGAGGCCACTTATGCAGATTCCACAAATCCTAGTCCATATAATTGTACTTAATAGGTCTTTTACTAGTGTGACCCTGCTGGGATCCTTTTCTTTGTTCCCTCTCAAACCCTACTTCAAGTTCAAATGATGCACAGAGCTAGTAATAATGTGGGTCTAAAATAGACAGGTGGACCTATTAAAAAAAAATCCAAAAATATAAATTCTAAAATTTATGGAAGTGGAAAATAATTCACAAGGAGACTAAGTTTTAAGATACTAAGATTTATCAACAAGATAATATATGATAACTGAAGCAATTTTAATATTACTAATATATCAAAAATAGAAATATTATGATTCATTAACATCCAGATTTACTTATAATACCACATATTATCATCAGAACCAATCATTCAGAATTCAGCTCTGAGAACAAGATTAAATCAGGTTTATATAAATTGGCCTTATGCTGAAATCCCTGTCTCTCTAGGTCTCAGCCTAGGATTAAAGAAGCCCAAGACTGGGACTTCCCTGATGGCACAGTGGTTAAGAATCTGCCTGCCAATGCAGGGGACACGGGTTCAAGCCCTGGTCTGGAAAGATCGCACATGCCACGGCAACTAAAGCCCGTGAGCCACAACTACTGAGCCTGTGCTCTAGAGGCCGTGAGCCACAACTACTGAGCCCGCGTGCCTAGAGCCCGTGCTCTGCAACTTACAACGAAGAGTAGCCCCTGCTCGCTACAACTAGAGAAAGCCTGCACGCAGCAATGAAGACCCAATGCAACCAAAATAAATAAATTAATTAATTAATTAAAAAAAAAAGAAGGCTTGGACTGGGACTTCCCTAGTGGTGCAGTGGTTAAGAATCTGCCTGCCAATGCAGGGCACACGGGTTCCAGCCCTGGTCCAGGAAGATCCCACACACTGTGGAGCAACTAAGCCCGTATGCCACAACTACTGAGCCTGCACGCCTAGAACCCATGGTCCGCAACAAAAGAAGCCACCACAATGAGAAGCCTGCGCACTGTGACGAAGAGTAGCCCCACTCACCACAACTAGAGAAAGCCCATGTGAAGCAACGAAGACCCAATGCAGCCAAAAATAAAATAAATAAATAAAGAAGGCCAAGACTAAGAACGAACAGTGTGGTCGCAGTAACACACTCTGTTCAGCTCCTGAGATGTAGCCAGCCCAGAAGGCTGAATACAAAGAAGGCATCTTCGAAAGATAATAAAAGTCAACATATTCAGAGGTCCTTAAGGAATTAGTGGCTTAAGGAAGCCAAGCATTTGCCAGGCTTCATGAGGTTAACAAAAATTGTTTCTGCTTGATCCTACATTTGCCTTAATGAATTTTTTATATTCTGAGATCAAAGATTAGCAAACCAAAGCCACTCCCTGATTTATTTTAGCAATTGGTCCTGGAAAATTTCAAGGTAAGGTTATAAACCAGAGTTGTTGACCATGGCCACGTGTTAGAATCGCCTGACAAACGTTATAATACAGATCATTGAAATAAAAATATCTGGCAGTAGGGCTGAAAGCCAATGCTGTAAACACTTAGTAGGCAAGAGAGCACTATTCCATTCATGCCCTACTGTTTAGTGCCAGCATCCATGAATGCAAATCAGGCAGCTCTGCCTAAAGAGGAATTTATAGTTAATAAGGGAAATAGATTCCTGAAAGTACAGTATGTTTTAGGAATACAGTATCATTTATTCATATTATACTCTTAATAAGAGATTCAGTGTGTGCACTGTATGCATTGTGCACCTGTGCCTATACAGAAATTAAAATGCGAGAGATGAGAGCTTTTACAGGAAGCCTTCACAGATGGGCAAATGTTTGAACTAGATTTAGAGGCAAGAGGTCACTAAAAGTAAAGGCTGGGGAGCTTCCAAATAAAATAGCAGGACATAAATATAGTAATCTAAAAGAACTAGAATGAAAATAAGCAATGACTGAAGGTAGGACAGACATTATCTCCCCAACTGCAAGCTTCAAAAGTATAGAAACCTTGCATTATATTTTTCATACATCACTGAGAACTACCCAGCATAATCCAAGCTACATATTAGATGTTCAAGTATTCAACCACTTTGTCACAACAAATTTGATACATAAACCATATAGAGAATTAAATCTTCAGAGTTTAATACTAAAGCACATTATATTTTAAAGTATTAATATAACTTAATACAATTTTTCCCATTTTGAGAAAAAATGAATAAAAGTGGATTTCAGAGTAAATAAAACAATGACAAGATGTAAACTTTGCACATAAATTGAAAAGTGAGTAATATTCATTTTATAAAACAAATCTGGAATGTAAAGAACTTTTCAAATCAAGTTGGAAAACTTACTGAATCAAGAAGATGGCATTCAGTAGTGAGACTTTTATTATCCAATAGTACTGAAAAACAAAAAAGAATAATTTTTAACTTTTAAAGTAATATTCTCACAGTTAAGTGTTGTTAGAAAGGAACAAAGCCTTGAAAGATATGAAAAATTCCATACATCATATGCTAAGAAAAATATGGATCATCTTATGCTATAATATTTTTTTAAATGTAGTTAAATTTCTTTGTAAAATTCTCATCCTTAATTTCAGTATAAAAAAAGGCTTCTATAAATAAATCTCATGCTTGTAATTTAAAGGTACCAAAAGATGCTAGAACATAGCTGGAGTGCCTTAAATGTCTGACCAAGGTTATAATGTTTATTTTGCCTTAGACCCTAGCCAGAAGAGCACCATGCAGTAGCAGATGAAAATAGTAGGTGAAACCATCACACATTATATGATAACAAAAATACAAGAGCCATTTCCTACTGAACAATCACAACACAGTAGGTAGGAAAAGGCATTAGGGCAGAAAAAGAGGGTGTTTTGAAGAAAGGTTTGAGGATGTTTGATGGAAAAGAAGAGAACTAAAAAAACTTCAGGGAATTTTTCTGAGTCTTCACAAACAACAAAGGATCCCACATAGTTAGGTCTAATGTAAAGTGCTGCTGACATCCAATATGGATTAGTATCTGTTGTTGATTTTTAATGGGTCTACCTCAAAAGGTTTGGGTGGATAGTAGGGTACCACAACACAAACTAATTCTCACAAGATATTTATTGCAAGTGTCCAATTTCTCAGCCTTCATTCTTGGAAACTGTATCCCGAAGTGTTTATAATAATCTATACTTTAGTCTAAGTTTATTTATTTAACAAAGCCTCATTTAAATACATTAAAAGACTTTACCTGACTGAGAAATTTTTGTTTCTTCTTCCTGAGAGATGTTATTTTGTGATGGTACATTTTTTTCAGGGCTAATCATCAAAACATCCTGTGCTGTAATTGAATTTAGTTCCATTCCATACACAACATCTGAAATTTCTTCCTTTTTGTTAGTATTAACATCATCTGCCACTTTGCCAGCAAGGAGAGCCAAATTCATTCTTTTACTAGGTAAACAACTTATTTCAAAGTTTATCTTATTTACATCCTGGAAGTAAAAATGTTATTACATTTAATTACCCAAAATTGAAATAAACAGAAAAAGTCTTATTGCTATTAAAAATAAGAAATAATAGAAGGATGACATTCTGAGCACAAGCTAAAGAACACTAAATCCTACCATCTTGCTTCTTGAACAATTAGATCAGATAATATTACAGCAACAGTACAAATGAAGGAAAGTTTCTCAGCAAGTACCAACAGTCCAGCTCAGAGATTGGCAAACATTCCATGTGATAGGCCAGGCAGTACAGTTGACCCTTGAACAACATGGGTTTGAACTGCGAGGGCCCACTTATACGCAGAATCTTTACAACTGTAAATACTACAGGATCTGTGGTTGGTTGAATCCACGGATGCGGACCCACAAATATGGAAGAACCAAGTATAAGGGGTGCACCAACTGTAAGTTATACGTGGATTTTTGCCTGTGCAGAGGGATGGCAACCCCTCATGCTGTTGTTCAAGAGCCAACTATAAATATTTTAGGCTTTGTGATCCAGAGTCTCTGCACAAACATGAACACTCTACCATTATATTTTGAAAGCAGCCAGATACAATACATAAACAAATGACTGTGGCTGTGATACCATAAAACATTATTTACAAAAATAATCTTGATGTGAGCTGAAAACCAAATTAGCACTATGATCTCAAACAAGCCAAAGGTCTTTGAAATAAGAACTGTAATTCTATATGACTGCTTTAGATTTTCAGTGGAAATTCCAGAGGTTGTTTATGGAGTTACTATATATAATGATATAAATAGATAGCATACTGGGCTATCTAATGCACTGGGATAGGACTTACATGGTTTACTTCAATTAAATCTTGTAATCCAGGACACTTAGCATCTTCTACTACGCTGTTCCTGAAAAAAGAAAAAAGCAGCATTGTACTCAGATAATTAAACATTTTGCTATGCTTTGACTTGTGTTTTGAGACTATCCTTTATGGGTCAAAGATGGAGCCTCATCCAAGATCAGGCCTGATCCAAACAGATTCGTTTTGGATGACAGCTACTTCAGGATGGCCTTACAAACCAAACGCATTTTCCTCAGAAAGCTCACAAGCTTGTGACCATGCTGGTCAGTCTACTGGCAATCTTTTGAACCTCAGCCAAATCCAGAGCCACATACTAGAAGAAGTCAAGATAAAGCTTACTTCTGGGGGATTAAAGCATCAACTCAATTATTGTATGGCTGGAGTTGCCTACCTTTACTTGTTAGCTAGTTATAGCACAATATATTCTAATCCTGAAGTTCTTAACTTGCATTTTACTAGAAACATTTGTCTCAACCTCTTGGAGTCATTTAAAAATACGTATATATACTCTATTTTTCTGGTTTTCAGCTTCACTTTGTACGAAGTTGTTTATTTGTAAGATGCTCTTTCAGGACTATTATCGGAAATAAAGTAAAAAAATTTTTAAAGAGTACTTGTAATATCACTTAAATACAATTTTGGATCTTCTTAGTACAAGATAATGAACTACAGGGTATACAAAGTAAAGTAATTTGCATTTAAGAAATGACAATAAATTGGTATTTTATAATCCACAGATTTCTAAAACATCTAAAATAATTTAATCCCTACAAAGGCTAAATATACTTTATACTGAAAACTAGAAATTTTATAACTTGTTCCATGAAATATTTAAAAAGAAAAACTTTCATTTGTTTCCCCATTGAAATAGTCAATGCATAGGGTGTTCTTTATTTTTTGACAACCTTGTTTGGTGTGATGGCAGAATATTCAATGCTGTCCCATCTCCAGATTAATAATAAATCCAACAGTCCTATCTTGGGCCCAGACTACAATTTTATTTCCTACTTAAAGTATCTTTTTCCTATCATATTTCTGGTACATTTATGTTCCACGAACAAGGACTATATAGGTAATTTTGATGCATCTTTACAGAGGCAGTACTATGTAGCATAAAGAATGTAGGTAACATCCACTCTCACCAACTGTAAGCTGAATTTGGGTAAGTTACTAACTTTTCAAGTTTCCTCATTTTTTAAAAATGGAGATCTAGTACCTCACATGGTTGTTTTGAGGATTAAATGAGATAATATATGATAGGAACCTTGAACAATGTCCAGCCCATAATAATTGTTCAGTACATATTAGCTCCCCCTTCTCTCACTCTGCCATCTGTCAAGTCAGCAACCTCAAGGTACTTTCTATAATGGCCGGTACAAAAGTGCCTACCCCTCAACGACACTGCAGGGAGGTATCAGCACTGTTTTGTGGATGATGAATCTGAAGCTTAGTGAGTTAATTAAACTTGTCCTGAAGTTTCATAGCTAGTATGTCATAGAGCTGGTTTTAAGCTCAGATCTGTCAAGCACCAAAATTTCAGCCCGTTTATCAACAAAGAACACTATATTACTCCTTTTCTTCTTGGTTCTGCAGCATTTACTTTGCCCATCTAGCTACGACCATTTACCAATCTGAAATCTGAAGCCCTAATTTCCTCATTTATAAAATAGAAGTATTGCCTATACGTTACAGGGTCATTGTGAAATTTAATAAACAATACATATCTTGCATACTTAACCAGGTTAACAATCTGAAATGGTATTTAATGTCTGCATCTGTTAAACTCTTAATATTAAAGAAATACCTGTTTCCAGGAATATTTGAAATCAAAGTCTTATCAACATGTTCACTTTTGGTGCCCTGAGGATCAGGATTCTCTGGTGATGTGGTTTGTCTTAAAACGCCCATCTCAGCCCTGCTCTCAGACGCAGCTTTGCTGGCAGACTTAGGTATTCTAAGTCGTTGAGAAAGACATTCAGAAGAAAGTCCTAGAAGATGAGAGAGATCATCTTAATACCAAAAAGCTCTTTCATTCATTTTTCATTATAACTAGGAAGACAGTGCAAATTCTTCCTATTCCCCTACCTTTCTCCTATAAAATAATGTTTGTTAAAGTCAATGCCTGGGACTTTCAGTTAAAGATAGTACTGAACACACACACTAAACTGCTGCCTCTTGACATCCCACTACTATAAACAGTAACAGATAATCTTGAAAGGTTGAATGCTACAAGGACAAAGCATCCTTTTTTTTTTAAGGTCAGTGGCTTTTAAAATTTGAAATATAATTTTCAAGGACAAAGGAAACTAAACCAGAAACAACAAAACTCAGAAAAATTTGGAAGCGTAATATAGATAGATGAGTGGGATATTACTTAGTAGACTCAAGAAAATAAATCCTAAGCCACTAGTCAGGAAAGATGTGAATCAACCCAGTTTATACCGCAGCACCTCTCAAAAGAATTGGTGGCCTCAAGAATCTCTGCAAGCAGAGGTAAAAACAGGGAGATTGGTTCAAAGTCAGTTTAAAGAACAATTAGAGTCCAGATTCCTTTCCTCATTATGCACAGCTGGGAAACTGTCAACAACCCCCTCCCACCACCAAGATAAAAAAAACTAGAGGCTTATCTCCCCAAAAAGGTGAAACAGGGTGTCTCTGGTTTAGGGGATAAAGTTGAGAGACGGGTACTATATGGAAAAGGGAGGATTAAATGAGTATTATTTAAATTGTTGATACACTCAGTTTCCCTCCCCGCATGTGGCTCCTGAAAGACTGGAAGCCAGAATTATACCCTCCAGGCAACAGATCAGAAGGATCTTCTCTGGGGAATCTAACTAGCCCATGAGAAAAGACTTAAATACAGTGATGATGTGCAGGTTCCCAGCATAATGGTGCAGCTAAATCACCCCACAGTAAAGACCTTATTACCCACACGCTGCCGTGCAGAGTCCCGCCCTTAACCATGAGCAGGCAGTGAATGATCATCAGACACCCAATGGAAGACTCTAATACGAGAGACAGAAACCAAAACAAAACAGATGAGAGTATCTTGGAACAAACTATCCAAGGGCAGAATACGTAAAAGCTATCGTTAACGTCTGTAGAAAAATAAGACGGTGCACTTATGAAACAAGTACAGAATGTTATAAAATGGAACATTCAAAGACTAAGAAAGAGTTCTTGGGTATTAAAAACATGATAGCCAACAGGAAAGTTGAAGAAATTCAGGAAGTAGAAGAAAATGACAAGTACAGGAAAGAATGATAAAAACAGTCTATTTACCAGGAGAAAGATAAGAGTTTCTGAAAGAAAGATCAGAGAAAACCAAGGAAAGTACATCAAAGGAATAATTCAAGAAAAAAATCTACACCTTGTTTAGAGAGGGCTGTAAACAATACTCCAAGATTCCTTTAAGCATTGGAAGTGGTTGCCTTTAGGAAGTGACAAACGGGATGAGTGGGGCTTCCTGGGGGACTTCTGTTTTGTAACAAACCTCATGTAAACTATGAGTTCTACAATTAAAACTCTATTGAGTTCTATAATTAAAACTCAATTTCAGAAAGATCAATTTTGGTCAAAAATCTTGATCTCTCTAGTCATAAGCACCAAGATGGTTCCCTGAAAGAATAGACAGCGGTGGGCCCATAGTCATGGAAACCACTAGGATCCTTGGGAAGTAAGTAACAAGGACCCATGCCATTAGCAGTGAGGCAATTCGTGGAGTCCAGGGAATGCAGCTGCTTGGTGTAAAGAAAACACACCAAAACCACACACTAGGTGTGATACCTAAATTGACAGGGAGGTAATAATATACTTGAGGTGATAAATTTACATTTTAATGTAAATATTAAATAGCAACTCAAGTTTATTGTCAGAAATCTTCCAAGTGGACACAGTTAAATAATAGAAAAAAAAAAAATCCCTTCTGCTTAAAGAGGACTTAGCCCCTTTCTCCTTGAAAATAAACATCTAGCACTTAAAGCATTAATAGAAGTGTCGCGCTTCCCTGGTGGCGCAGTGGTTGAGAGTCTGCCTGCCAATGCAGGGGACATGGGTTCGTGCCCCGGTCCGGGAGGATCCCACATGCCGTGGAGCGGCTGGGCCCGTGAGCCATGGCCGCTGAGCCTGCGCGTCCGGAGCCTGTGCTCCACAACAAGAGAGGCCACAACAGTGAGAGGCCCGCATACCGCAAAAAAAAAAAAAAAAAAAAAAAAAAAAAAAAAAAAAAAAAGATAGGAGGAAAATTTTTACTCCAAATGAAAATTAAACCAAACCCACCTTCCATAAGCTATTTCTCAGAAATCACAGAAAACACATAAATCTTCATGTGAAAACTATTTTTCACCTCTTATACAAGCTCACATCCAACCCAAATATTTCCGTTTAGTAGTCTCAGCAGAAAAACTAACCTGAGAATGATTTAACAGGACTTTCAATTCTGAAAAATCCAGCATCAAACACTATTTTATCCACTTCCTTTGGCATTGCAGAGGCTGCTGCCTCAGCATGTTCTTTCTGCTCAATTCTCTCTCTCACTGCATTTTTTATGGCAGCTAGGCGATTTCTAGCTGCAATTCTTCCACCATCATCCTGTTTGGGTTTACTCACTATACCTGAGACAACTTTTTTCTGTGAAGAAAAATTATGACTTATTAAAGGGATTCATTACCATCTTATAAGAAAAACAAATAAGGCATACATGAAATTCTCAACACATTCATCATATACTTACCAAGCTCCTAATACGTGCTAAAATGCTTGGGGGTGGGGGGGTTGGACTTCCCTGGTGGCGCAGTGGTTAAGAATCCGCTTGCCAATACAGGGGACAGAGGTTCAACCCCTGGTCCGGGAAGATCCCTCATGCCACGGAGCAACTAAGCTCGTGCACCACAGCTACTGAGTCTGTGCTCCGAAGCCCATGGGCTACAACTACTGAGTCCAAGTGCTGCAACTACTGAAGCCCGCGTGCCTAGAGCCCGTGCTCCACAATAAGAGAAGCCACTGCAATGAGAAGCCTGCACGCCGCAACAAAGAGGGGCCCCGCTTGCTGCAACTAGAGAAAGCCCACATGCAGCAACGAAGACCCAAAGCAGGCAAAAATTTAAAAATAATAAATTAAAAAAATAAATAAATAAATAAAATGCTGGGGGTCAAAAGGTAAAGGACAAAGTTCCTGCCCTCAAGGAGTTCTCAGCTTCACAGTGGAAGAGCTAGATAAGGACACTGAGAAGAATAAATGTCGTGTTAGAAATAAATTCAGAGGGCTGAATTTATCAATTAATCAACCTTCAGAGGCACCGAGAAAGGCTTATAGGAAGTAGCACCCGAGCTGAAATCACAGCTAGGTGGGCTACAGGATGGGATGAGGAAAGGGCTAGGTAGAGAGAATAGCATGTTTGCAAAACCAGAAATGAAAGAAAGCACAGAGGAGTTGGCAAGAGGTAAGTAACAGCTAATTATGATCCCTCACATGTAACCATTTTGAGGAGCTACATTTACACAGAGGACAAAGTAATAGAGGTTACTGATGATTTCTAATCAGGAGGTTAACATTATCAAATTTGCATTCTGGAACAGTCACTCTGTGTCCAGCCTGGAGAATGGATTGGAGGGTTACAAGCCAGTTAGGAAGGCAATTACTTCAGTGATACTGGAAAAAGATGCTAGTAGTTAGATTACGGAGGGAAAAATGAAAAAAGTAAACAGATTCAGGAGATATGAGGAAGAACTGAGAGGACTTAGCAATCTTTTAGATAGGTGCGGGTGAAGGTGGTGAAATACAGAAAGGAAAGGACCACAGAAGATAGCCAGGTTTCTATCTTGGATGCCTGGAGGGATGATAATACCATTCTCTGAGACAAGGAAACATTGATGTGTGTGGAGATGATTTCAGTTTGGGATACACAGATTTTAAAGTATTACTGTGTCAGCAGTAAGAGTGGTTTGAAATACAGATTCGGGAATCATCGCCGAGCGGGTAAGATTGCGCATGAAGAATATGGAAGGAGAGAAGAGAGTTGAGGTAGGAACTGGAGTATCACAAACACTTAAGGGATAAAGGGAAAGAAACTTGCAAACATGACTAAAAAAAATGGGACAGAGGTAGGAGGAAAATCAGTATAATACAATTTCAAGAAAGAGGGAGTAGACTGTATTTAATACTGCAGAGGGACTAGATTTTATAATTAAGTACCTAATAACTGCAGCAATTAGAGGATCAATAACCTTGGTTATAACTGTTCTAGTAGCATAGAGGGGGTGAAGCTGAATTGCAGTGAGTTGGAAAGGTAAGAGGGAATCAAAATAGTAAAGACAGAGTATAGACAACTTTTTCAGGAAGCTTATCTGTGACTGGGAAGAAAGAAATGGGAATGGGGGAAGGGGAGGTACAGATAACTGTAAGAGATGTGGACCTCACAGGTTTAGTTGTTGTTGTTTTGCTTTTTCCTAATGTAAACAGAGATAAGACCCTTAAACATATCTAAAAACTGATGGAAAAAAGAGGGAAAGATGAAAACAGGATAAGTGATGGAATGAGAGGCAATGAATAGGAGGTAGAAGGGAATGGTAACAAAGTATAGGTAAAAGATAAATTTTATTTTATTTGTCCAATATCTTAACAGTAGCCTCTAAATAAAGTAGGAGGAGAGAGACACCTGGTGATAAGGGGCAGAATTACAAGGCTCTGATATACTGCTGTACTGATACAGCCATTATCTGCATCACTGATGATATTAATGTTTCCAGGACTACTCAATAAGAAATATCCACAGTGGCTTCAAAATGTTCAAGCATCCTTCATTGTTTAGTAGATTTAAAACTCATTCAATCAATTTTGTCAATGTCCTTTGAGTCTTTGTCATAACAATTAGTAAAATAATTTTATTAAAATGTTTCTTTAATACTCTAACAGCTTAAACTCCTAAGGATTCAAAACAGTTTTTCTATGGATTACATAGCATGATAAAGTACCAATCTAGAAACCTGATTTTATAATCACAGACATTTTTCTAAAATCTAAAAGGAAAACTGGCAATGCTCTACTGTGGTTTGAGAAGCATTCATCTGAATCAAAAACTCTGAGTTTAAAACATTACTAGAAAAAATTCTACAAATAGATAAGAATGGAAGCTATCATGATAAAGTAATAGGAAATTTTACAAGATAAAGTATAAGGAAGAAGACAGACATTCTAAAGAGCCATTGTTCCTCTTTCTTTTCTATTAAAAAAATTCTTTCAGGACTTCTGTGGTGGTCCAGTGGTTAGGACTCCGCATTTACATTGCAGGGCGCCCAGGTTCCATCCCTGGTCGGGGAGCTAAGATCCCGCAAGCCACTCGGCATGGCTAAAAAAAAACCCAAAAATCTTTCATTTTGAAATATATCACACAAAAGCACAGCCTACTGGATAAGAATAGGAATTCTGGAATGAGAAAGTCTGGCCTGAAACCCAGCTCCACCTTGGGCAAGTAACTTAATCTTTCTAGGCCTCATATTCCTCAACTGTAAAATGGGGATAACAGTACCCACCTCAGGAGGATTGTTGAGGATTAAATGAGTTAAAACATGTAAAGTATTTGGAACAACATTTGGCACATACTAAGCATTATATAAATTATCTACTTCTACCATTATTATCACCAAAAAATGTATAAACACAATTTAAAGAATAAAACAAACACACACACACACACTATGTAGCAACTCAGAAGCTCTCAATCAATCACAGCCCCAATTCAATCATAGCCCCTATCCTTCCTCCCTCCGGAAATAACCATCCTGAATTTTGCATTGCTCATTTCCTTTCTTTCTTCAAAGACAATCAGCACATTGTAAGCAATATATGAAACTTATTTTAAAAAATGATAAAAAATCTGAAGCTAAATGTTTATAAAGCTTGAAAATAAAAATTATTTAGAGTAGAAGAGTCTATATTAGAAACCCACAAACTTACCCGAAAAACTTTTTTGCTTGTATTGTTATTGTTTTGCCACCCAGATTCCTCAAGCTTGGTCAGATTGTTGAATTTTTGATTTACGTCTTCTATCTATTAATAAATAAAGCTCAAGTTTATCAGATTAATGCTAACCACATTAAAATTACAAACTAATAAACTGAAGCTTCAAAAAAATTGAGAATGGCAACATAAAATTCGACTAAATCACCCTGAATTTAGTATTCAAGTGAAAAACTCTTACAGTAAAATTGTTCATTGTTATTTTTGGTCTTACAAACCTTCAAAATCTACATAAAGAATGTCATATATGGGGGCTTCCCTGGTGCCACAGTAGTTGAGAGTCTGCCTGCCGATGCAGGGGACACGGGGCTGTGCCCTGGTCTGGGAAGATCCCACATGCCGCGGAGCGGCTGGGCCCGTGAGCCATGGCCGCTGAGCCTGCTCGTCCGGAGCCTGTGCTCCGCAATGGGAGAGGCCACAGCAGGGAGAGGCATGTGTACCGCAAAAAAAAAAAAAAAAAAGAATGCCATATATGGATAACTCTCCTAAATTATTTTTGATCACTAAAATGGTAGGAGAGATATCCTAAATGTTTTTGTTTCCTAAATTACACAATATGAATACAATCTCTCTTTTTTTACAGGACATCTTGGTTGCTTCCAAGTTTTGGCAATTATAAATAAAGATGCTATAAACACCTGTGTACACATATTTGTGTAGACATATGTTTTCAACCATTTGGGAAAATACCAAGGACTGTGATTGCTGGATTGTATGATAAGAGCATGTTTAGTTTTGTAAAAAACTGTCAAACTGTCTTCCAGAGTGGCTGTACCATTTTGCAATGTACCACCAGCAATGAATCAGAGTTCCTGCTGCTCTCCATATTCACCAGCATTTGGTGTTGTCAGTGGTTTGGATTTTTGCCATTCTAATAGGCATCCAGTGGTAGCTTCTTGTAGTTTTAATTGGCAATTCCTTAATGATCTACGACATTGAGCCTTATCTTGTCATATGCTTACTTGCCATCTGTATATCTTCTTTGGTGAAGGGTCTGATCAGGTCTTTTCTCCATTTAAAAATCAGGTTGTTTGAACGGTTCTTTGTATATTCTGATACAGATGTTTGTATCAAATATCAGATACATCTTTTATAAATATTCATTTCCCAGTCTGTGGCATGCCTTCTCATTCTCTTCACACAATCTCATTTTAAAAGATTCAAATAATATCCCCATCCTTCTGGTATTTCCAATCTCCTCCAACGAGGTAACCACTGTCAACAGTTTGGTAAACTTGCTTCAAGTCCCCTTACTATGCATTTATATTCATATATACTCTCAATCTCTCTCTCAAAAAAAAAAATTTAAATGTCAAAATGACTCAGGATTACATTTACGATCACTGATTTTCAACAAGTTGCCACTGTAATTCAATGAGGAAAAGACAATCTTTTTAAGAAACAGTACTGGGAAAATTTGGATATCCTCAAGAAAAAAGATGAATTTAGACTGTTATCTACACCATACAGAAAAATGAACTACAAATGGATCACAGACCTAACTGTAAGAGCTGAAACTATAACACTTTTAGAAGAAAACATAAGAGAAAATCTTTGTGACCTGTGGTTAGGCAAAAAGAGTTCTTAGACATGTACACAACATAAAAGAAAAAAAGTTGATAAATTGAACTTCATCAAAATCAAAAACATTTGGGACTTCCCTGGTGGTCCAGTGGTTAAGACTCTGAGCTCCCAATTTAGGGGCACGGGTTCAGTCCCTAGTCAGGGAACCAAGATCCTGCATGCCGCGCAGTGTGGCCAAAAAATACAAAAATCAGAAACATTTATACTGCAAAAGACATCATTAAGAAATTATAACAGAAGCCACAAATTGGGAGAAAATATTTGCAAATATTTCTGATAAAGGACTTGTATACAGGATATATGAAAAACACCTCTCAGTAATAAAGACAAACCAATTTAAAAATGGGCAAAAGATTTTACTAGACATTTTGCCAAAAAAGACATATGAATGGCTAATAAGCACATGAAAAGATGCTTAACATCATAATCAAAACTATAGAGACACTTCTCGCCCACTAGGATGGCTATTAAAAAAGACAGACAATAACAAGTATGGATGTGGTGAAACAGGAGCACACATTGGTGGAGACATAAAACGGTGTAATCACTTTGGAAAACAGTTTGGCACTTTCTTAAAAAGTTAAACATAAATTTACTACATGATCCAGCAAAATCTAGGTATCTACCAGAGAGAAATGACAATATATATCCACACTAATATTTGTATATGAATATTCATAGAAGACTATTCATAATCACCAAAGAGTAGAAACAATATAAATATCCATCAATTGATAAATATAGATACAAGCTACAACATGGATGAACCTCAAAAACATCATGCTAAGTGAAAGAAGTCACATACAAAAGACCACATATTGTATTATTCTAGGTAATGTGAAATGCCCAGAAAAGGCAAATCTACAAAGACAGCAAGATGATTAGTGATGCCTGGGGCTAGGAGTGAGAATGGGGATTGACTTGCAAATATGCAGGACGGATCCTTTTGTGGTGCTAAAAATGTTCTAAATTTGGATTAAGGTCACGGTGTGCATGCAACTCTGTAAATTTACTGACAATCATTGAATTGTACACTTAAAACAGGCACATTTTTTTTAACATCTTTATTGGAGTATAATTGCTTTACAATGTTGTGTTAGTTTCTGCTGTATAATAACATGAATCAGCTATATGTATACATATATCCCCATATCCCCTCCGTCTTGCGTCTCCCTCCCTCCCATCCTCCCTATCCCACCCCTCTAGGTGGACACAAAGCACCGAGCTGATCTCCCTGTGCTATGTGGCTGCTTCCCATTAGCTAGCTATTTTACATTTGGTAGTGTATATATGTCCTTGCCACTCTCTCACTTCGTCCCAGCCTACCCTTCCTCCTCCCCGTGTCCTCAAATCCATTCTCTATGTCTGCGTCTTTATTCCTGTCCAGCCCCTGGGTTCTTCAGAACCATTTTCTTTTTTTTTTAGATTCCATATATATGTGTTATCATACGGTATTTAAAACAGGCTAATTTTATGATACACAGATTGTACTTCAATACAACTCTTAAAAAAAAAAAAAAAGGCCCCAGCAGCCAGTTTGAAGAGGCTGTCATTGGCCAAAGCTGAGAAATGAGCATCAATAAAGATAGTAACTGTAAATAATGAAAACACATCAAATATCTTTAAATCCATAAATTAACAATGATAGTAAGAAACAGAATTAATTGATCACCATCAAAGGATACTAGTTAACCAACTCATCAATATGAAAACTGGTAAATGTATAAAAACTGCTCACAAAGTAATGCTTATATTATGACTACATAAACACTATTCACATCTGGGCCATAAAGTTACTGAAACTATTATGTTCCCTTACTCACTTTTCTCTAGACGTAATAATTGTTTTGCTTTTTGTTTGCTTAGCTGTTCATGTGCCTATCATCGATTCAGTCTAAACTGCACAGTAAGTATAAATCTCCTCTTAAGGACTTGCCTGGTGGCACAGTGGTTAAGAATCGGCCTGCCAATGCAGGGGACACGGGTTCGATCCCTGGTCCGGGAAGATCCCACATGCCACGGAGCAACTAAGCCCGTGCGTCACAGCTACTGAGCCTGTGCTCTAGAGTCCTAGAGCCACAACTACTGAACCCACGTGCCACAACTACTGAAGCCCATGCGCCTAGAGCCTGTGCTCCACAACAACAGAAGCCAATGCAGTGAGAAGCCCATGCACTGCAACAGAGTAGCCCCTGCTCGCCACAACTAGAGAAAGCCCATGCATAGCAACAAAGACCCAACGCAGTCAAAAATAAATAAATAAAATAAATTTTAAAAAAAGAAAAGAAAAAAAAAAGAATGCATTAAATCTCCTCTTAATAAAAAACAAATCAGGTATTTTACTCAGTTCAGCTTTCCAGAGACCGGTCTGGTAGAGCCCCTGGTCCCCCTGTGCTAATCAGGAAGTGCTGCTTCCTAAGCATGCTTCACACATTCTTGTCTCCCCTCGGCCTCAATTCTCTTGGCCCCTTGCTGGGGATCCAACCCACGTCCTCCTCCATTCTTGGCTTACTCCCTCATTTTTGTGAGGTACTTTCTCACTTAGCTTGCTAAGAAAGAGTGCTTGGGAGGTAAAATCTGAGACTGTGTGTGTTTGGAAAATGCCCTTCCACCCTCACACTTGATTGGTTGGCTACAGAGCTCCAGGTTGGAAGTTATTTCCCTCAGAAGTTTGAGGGCATTGTTCTCCCAGCTTTAAATGTTGCAGTTGAGAAATCCAAGGCTACTGTGATCCTTGACCCTTTGTATGAAACTTGTTTTCTCTCTGGAAGCTTCTACAGTTTTCTCTTCATCCCAAGAGTTGTACAGTTATACTTAATGGCATACGTTGGTGTGGGTCTACTCTTAATTCACAGTGCTAGGCACTCAGTGGGCTCCTTCAATCTGGAACTCATGTCCTGCAGTACTGGGGAAATTTTCTAAACCATTTCATTGATGATTTTCTATTTTTTCAGTACTCTTTTTCTGGAATTCCTATTATTTGGATGTTATACTTCCTAGATTGGTCCACTTCCTCCATCCAAATACCTTTCTTCTTATTTTTGCTTTGGCTTCTTTCTTTCAGGTTTGAGGCTTTCTTGAAATGTCTAATAGTTGTTGACTATAGGTTCTTGAAATAGTAATTTATATGCTTATTTCTAAAATATGCTCAAAAAGCTACAAAGTATCATCTCCTTCCATGCCCTTACTGATCTTCCTAGTGATTCCCTCTCTCATAGCACTTTTTTACATTAGATTGGAATTATATATTTTGTCTAACCCACTAATCAAACTACAAACTCCTTTGGGGCAGAGAATGTGCCTTATTTTATCAACTCCTAGTACAATGTCTGGCAAACGGTAGGAACTCAGTAACTGCTGGATGAACGGAACTACTAAAGACTAGATTTACTCATCTTCTCACATGTAGAATCATTACAGATTATTCAACAGTTGAATATAATCTCAGTTTCCAACCCAAATAGAAATCATACTGACAATACAGGGGAGGAGAAGCAATCAGTCATTAAATTTAGACAGCACTTGGGGCTTCCCTGGTGGTCCAGTGACTAAGACTCTGCACTCCCAATGCAGGGGGCCTGGGTTCGATCCCTGGTCAGGAAACTAGATCCCACATGCCGCAACTAAGAGTTCACGTGCCGCATCTAAAGATCCCGCATGTCACAACTAAAAGACCCCGCATGCCACAACAGAGATCCCGTGTGCTGCAACTAAGACCCAACGTAGTCAAATAAACAAATAAATAAATAAAATAAAATAAAAATTTAGACAGCACATTACAGTCTATAAAGGTGCTAATATCTCATTTAATATTACAGGCACAGGGACTTCCCTGTTGGAGCAGTTGTTAAGAATCCGCCTGCCAATGCAGGGGACACGGGTTCGAGCCCTAGTCTGGGAAGATACCACATGCTGCGGAGCAACTAAGCCTGTGTGCCACAATTACTCAGCCTGTGCTCTAGAGCCCATGAGCCACAACTTCTGAAGCCCGTGAGCCACAACTACTGAAGCCCATGTGCCACAACTACTGAAGCCCACGTGCCACAACTACTGAAGCCCACACACCTAGAGCCCATGCTCCACAACCAGAGAAGACCCCGCTCGCCACAACTAGAGAAAGCCCATGCTCAGCAACGAAGACCCAATGCAGCCACAAATAAATAAATACATAAATAATATTACAGGCACATAAGTAGCTAATACTAACCCTTTTATACTACTGTTACCTCATTTTCAAAAAAACCAAAACAACAAAAAAAACAGACTCAAAGTTACCATATTCAAAATACTTGACCACATACCTGAAAACTAAGCATATCCCAAAATCCATCCAGATCTGTACAGGTAGTTTCCTTTTCACCTCGTTTATATTCACAATTGTCCACCAGTCCTTCAAACTGTTTGAACCTTTCTTTCATAAGGAGTCTTGTTTGACCAACTGCTGTGCGAATAAGATCTTTAGCTAAAAGAAATATGAGGTTTTTAAAAGTTAAAGGACAAGACAGGACCTTTACTGCAAGCCAACCAGCTGATAAGATGACCTCATTCCAAATATCCTACAGTTACAGAATCAAATTCTTACTTTAAAGCAAAACAAAAAATATCTACTACAAAACTTTGTCATACAAATATTGAGCATTTACTATCTGCTTTAATTCCTGCTAAATCAATATACATTCTCATACATATTGCTACACAGTAAAGAGCATTCTACCTCTCCTTGTATTTTATAAGAAATCAACGTCAAACAACTCACTGCACATCAGTATCTAAGAACTGATGTGGCAGCACACAAATGACTTTTTTCTAAATAGCTTTCCTGAATAGGTAAGGTTGGAACTTTTCAGAAAACTTGATTGATTTTGATTTGATTTCATATTGATTTAGGTAATTTTTGTTCAGAAAATATTTTTGTATAATTAAGCAATACCAGCTATAGCTATCATTCATAAAGTCACAGTAAAAAAATCTAATAATAAAATAGGCAAATGTCTAACTCTCAGGAATCATAGTCAATATTCTAACTACTTACATCTTTTAAGTCAGGTACCATTTTAGCACAGAGATATTAGTGAACATATGTGAGATATGAAAAATTCTTGCTATTTTGAATAACAATGAAATTATAAAGTTGGACAACACTGGATTTTTGTGTTTCAAATAAATGTAACCATATTAAAAAAAAATAAAGGTAAGACATAAAAACATATAAATGTTCCCTCACCGTCATCTGGAATGTCCAATTCAAGCTTTCTGTCCCACTCAAGGCAGTGTGAAGTTAACTTCTCAGTTTCTGACTGGAGAATATTTCTAAAATGATGACATACATTAGCACTATGACAATTATACAACATTAACTTCCCAGAGCTGATGCTTAATTATTTTATGAAATGTGATATGTTAAAATCCATAAATACAATTTGATATTCTATGTATGTCCATCCTTCCACACCTAAAACTTAAGTGGATGGTTAATGCCAAGAGCCCATTTTTCAAGCTAATATTTCTAGTCTTTTCTGTTCTTATTTTTCAGTGGCTAAGCAGAAAGAATTAGACATTCCTTAGTTCTGTTATTTTCCATGGAACTAAGGCGAATTCAATTGCCAAGAGTAAGATGAAGCTAAAAACTGTTAAGTCTCAAATTACTGTAAGTCTCAAATTACAGTGATAGGGCCTTACAGATTCTATTAGGCTTTGCTTGTCCAAAGGCAATGGTTCTCAACTGGGTCAATTTTTCCTACCAGGGAGTATTTGGCAATATCTAGAAGCATTTTTGATTGTCACGAACTGGAGGAGTGCTACTGGCCAGGGATGCTACAAAACATCCTGCAATGCAGGGGACAGACCCCACAACAAGAATTATCCAGTCTAAAATGTCAGTAGTGCCAAGGTTAAGAAACTCTGGCTTGGGCTTCCCTGGTGGCGCAGTGGTTAAGAATCTGCCTGGCAATGCAGGGCACACGGGTTCGAGCCCTGGTTCCGGAAGATCCCACATGCCACAGAGCAACTAAGCCCACGCCCCAGAACTACTGAGCCTGCGCTCTAGAGCCCGTGAGCCACAACTACTGAGCCTGCGAGCCACAACTACTGAAGCCCACACACCTAGAGCCTGTGCTCCGCAACAAGAGAAGCTACCGCAATGAGGAGCCCACGCACCGCAACGAAGAATAGCCTTCGCTCGCCACAGCTAGAGAAAGCCTGCGCGCAGCAACAAAGACCCAACACAGCCAAAAATAAATTTAAAAAATAAAATAAAATAAATAAATTTATATAAAAAAAAAAGAAACCCTGGCTTAAAATTTTAAACTGTTTCTTTACAAAAACATCCAAGCAGGAAAACTGAGGATAGTTTCTCTTAGAAGAATAATTTAGCTGCCTATGTCCAGTAGCAACAGAGAACAGCTTTAATTAATGAGAAAGAGACCTGGCTTAGATCTGACATTTAGTTGGATAAATTGTTTATCATCTCAATGTCTCAGTTGAACAACACAGTGGATTAGCTAATCTCTGAAAGACCTTATAATTCTAAAACATTATGGTCTAAAAACAATTGAAGTGGTTCCCCAAAATATAAAAAGATACTCATTCATAATAGAAAGAATGGATATTAGAACTAGAGTAAGGGGAATTCCCTGGCAGTCCAGTGGTTAGGACTCCGAGTGTTCACTGCAGGGGGCACAGGTTCGATCCCCGGTCGGAGAACTAAGATCTCATATACCACACAGCGCAGCCAAAAAAAAAAAAAAAAAAGAAATTAAAAAATAAATAAATAAAATAAACTAGAGAAAGCTAATATTTTTTATCTGTTTGACTGGTAAAACTCAAAAATTGTTAACATTGTATTGGAAAAGGTATGGGAATTTTCTTGCTATATTCACTCAAAGATAACAGAATATCATCATTTTCTGTGTGATGTGGAATGTTAAGGCCTTTCTCGAAATGCAGGCCTCTGATATGCTTCCAAGGCGCTTAGGTGACATGTTGAAGTTCCCCAAACAGGATGTTAATTTTCAATTCAGTTAGAGAAACATAATCCTATCTCATAATTTGGTGGGCCAAAGAGCCTCCTACCATCTCCCATTATCCTTCTTTTATAAAATAAACTTTAATTTAGTTCTTTGTGGGGGAAAAAAAAAGGTATGAGAAAATAGGAACTCCCATACCTTGCTGGGGGGAATGTAAATTGAGGTCCTTATATACTTGTACATGAGAAAATTGAAACATATACAAGTTTGTTGTTGGCAGCCTTGATTGAAATAGTAAGAGACTGAACCCAATGTAAATAACCACCAACAGGGACCTATTAAGTAAATTATGGTATATCCATATTATTGGATACTATGTGGCCATTAAAGAACACACACACACACACACACACACAACAACATGAGAAAGCTCTTTAAGTACTAAAATGGAATGTCTACTACATTTAACATTAAATGAAACAATATTAAAAAAAAATATATATATATATATATGTTTATGTTAGTTTACATATGCATTATCTACCTCTGGAAATATTCACAAAAAATGAGTAACACTTGCCTCCGTGGAAGGTTCAAACTATCCCCTGGGAGGCAGGGTTGGGAAAAAGACTTCTCACTTGTACCTTTTTCTACCTTTTGAATTAGGAACCACATGAATGTACTAGTTACTGAAAAAAAATCATTAAAATTTAAAAGATAAATGAAAATCACCAAAATTCAATTTCCCCCAACTCATCTATTATATTCAGGTTAAAAATAGTATAATTTTGGTTTTAAATGTCTAGACATTGATACAAAATTCTTACACTAGGAACAAATGGACAAACCTGAAATATGGCACATCATGTTGTGGCTGAGATATCTGATCTTGATTTACTTCAAGTGATGGGACTTCTTTTATTGAAAGGCCATCTGAATTTTTATTAGTAGTTTCATTTTTATTTAAAACATGTTCTATAGATTAAAGAAAATATTACATATAAATTTCAAAGCAGCAACTCATAAAATGACATCCCCCACAAGACAAATTTTTTTTAAATCCTTTAATTTTTTTCAGTGTTGAATTTTAAAATTTTATTTCTGACTCAATGATTTCATTCACCACATATCCTCTAAAGTGTCTCCTGATATTCATCTCCTCAAATATACATTTATTTCCCCCCATCTTCTCAGTCTATATTCCTTATTCCAACTCTTTCTCTCTCCAGATATCTTTCCCCATGTTTTCCCATCTCTCCTGACCCTGAGATCACATCCCTGAACTGTATGTTGAAAAGGGCTCTAAACAAATGTCTGATAAATCACAATCCAGAAAAGCAAGTAAAAAATTAATTAAAATACAATACCTTTATTCCATACGGTTAGAGAACCCAAAGGACATTGTAGTTTACTTGAATCTTGATGTACTGTCTTGGCAGAGAAAGTTTTACATTTTTGTGCCAAGATTTCTTTTGTTGCTTCAGTCTTATCACTAAAAACAATAGCAAAAAAATACTTTATGAAACATGAGCCTCATATATCTAATTGAAGGATTTCAAAATGATGTTACTTTTTAAAAACCTGGGATTTAATAGAAATATGTTTCTATTTTTTTTAATGTGTCTTTCTAGAGGGGAAAAATTTAAACACCTATAGTGGAATGTCCATCTTTACTAATTATAATGAGATCCAAAGACTATGAAGATCTCTTCATGGAACATAAGCACTCATAGTCTTGGATGCTGCTGAGCAGTTTCTAGTAAATTTGCCGCCAGCCAGTCTGCAAAACAACCTTGCTGTTTCTCTTAATGATTCCAACTGATTTCCCCCCACTCTGCAAGTTAATTATCTTTGGCTTTAGAAGTAGTTTTTCTAAAGTAATACTCGGCAAAAAAAACAAACACAAAAACCCCAAACCATGTCTGAACTACAGTATTATAGAAATTTCTTCCTTCTAAACATTTATTTCTAAGTATTATAATAAAGTCACTTATAAAAAGCAAAAAAACACAAAGTGTACCATGAAAATAATGATAAAAACAATGTATAGGAAATATAAAAACTGTCAAATACATTACTGTAGCCTTCTGAAGAATTTTTTTAAAAGACCAAATTTTCATGATTTATAATTAATATAATTTACTAACTAAATATTAACTTTTAAAAAGCACAGGACAAATCTAAGAAAGGCATTTGTTAACCATCTTAGCAAGGAATTCATTATTAACATTAAATTCTTACACTTCTGTGTTTAAAGGGGTCCAGGTATAACTGGGTGTCAAGAAAGCACTGGCACTTCTGGGAGTCATAGGTGTTACTTGATAGGTCTTCAGACCATCTAGTGGCTGAAACATAAAATCTTTAGGTGCAAAGGAATTCCTCCCCTTCATTTTTGCACTATTTGTCTTAGATAAATTTTCCATTTTTGATAAGACACCATCTGGATCCATTCCAATTGTTGTACTGGTTTGTGAATCCAAAGTACTTTCTTCACTATCAACTTTAAAAGAAATGGCCTAGATGGGAGGAAACAGAATGGAGTAAGAATTTCTCTTCTGGGGATATATTCAAACCAATTTTTACAGGCCTGAAAATATGAAAGTTGAGATATGTGTCCCTTGTGCATAATTTAAGAGAAAAAAATAAATACAATTAAATGTAAATATAGAATCAGTAGCCAGCTAACTAAACCACTGTCATGATCCAGAGAGAGACAGAACCAATCCTCATTAAAAGGACTAAATAATAGGTTTTAAGTATTAAAATTAAATATATGAAAACTAAGGTGGAAAAATTACCCACCTAACCAATACCTTTTAATTTAAATTATGTTGATAATTACAATGGTTGAGAATCAGAAATCCAATGTTTATTGGATGACTACTATTGTCAAGGACCAAATCCTCTTTTAAAATCACCTTGATTATAAATAAATTTATCATATGAGAAAAATATTTTTCAGTGTGACACAGTGAGATTAACCATATAAAATGTGAAGCTTATTTTCTCTGTCAATTATTTGGTTTTTTTAAAAAACTGAGATATAACTGACATATAACATTATATTAGTATCAGGATAAGACACCTGAAAAACAACAGTAAATCCTCCTGATGCTTCTTTATGGTTCAAGAGATTTTAACACATGTATAAGTTATCTTCTTGAAGCAGTTCTATATGCTTAATTTCAATTTTATGAAAGTAGCAGTGAGATTTTCAAAGTACCTAGAAATAAACAGATGTTTATACTCTACCTTGTCAGGTTTTGTTTCTATCTTTTTGGCAGGTCTTCCTTGATTTGGTGCCTCTGTTTCTGCTTCATTATCTAAAATAAAAGTGAAATAAGCCATCCATTTAGACTAGATAAAAAATGCTGCATTAAAAGTACTAGGTAATTTGGGAAAGGAAAACAGGCAATAGGAATGTATGTCAAAGAATTTTATGATTAAAAGTCACATTATAAAATAGGAAAAAAAGATGAAATTTCCTGCCAAGTTTAGGCCATCTGTTTCCAAAGCAAAAGTGTTAAGGTATTTTACCTTTTGCCTCTGAATATCAAATACGTATTTATTATAGAAAATTAGAAAAAATTTTAAAAAGCACAAAAACAATCAAAAATTTTACCCAAGCTTACATTACTCAGTGCTAATCACTATTGACACTTCAGAGTACGTTTTCCCAGTTTTTTCCTATGTTCACATTCACATACATATTTTAGAAATTCAATCATACTGTTCAGAGTTTGAGCTGATTTTCTTTGCCCACTTAATATGATTAACCATGTCATTAAGTGTTCTTTCATACATTGTTCTTAAATGGTTACACTGTATTCCACCAAATGGATGGACTGTAACTTATTGGGGCCATTAATTTTTCACTTTGAAGCACTGCTTACACCAATTCAGTACTTCAACATTTGAGCACCCACTGTGTGCTAACGGGATATCGGGGCACAAAACCTATCTTCGGGAATCAGAATCTCCATTTCCTCCTCTCCTACTCAAAGAAGTACATGATGATTTTAAAAATTGAACACAGGGGCTTGCCTGGTGGTGCAGTAGTTAAGAATCCACCTGCCAATGCAGGGGACACGGGTTCAACCCCTGGCCTGGGAAGATCCCACATGCTGTGGAGCAACTAAGCCTGTGCGTCACAACTACTGAGCCTGTGCTCTAGAGCCCAAGAGCCACAACTACTGAGCTCGCGTGTCACAACTACTGAAGCCAGTGCGCCTAGAATCCATGCTCCGCAACAAGAGAAGCCAATGCAATGAGAAGACCGTGCACCACAATGAAGAGTAGCCCCCGCTGGCTGCAACCAGAGAAAGCCTGCGTGCAGCAACAAAGACCCAATGCAGCCAAAAATTAATTAATTTTTAAAAATTGAACACAAAGAACCTCAAGTACCAAAATATCCTAGCTCAGTCACTGATCAAGAAATGTCCTTACCATTAGTAGCCCTTGTCACTGGCTTTCTTGCTGTAGTAGGCGGGACTGTTTTGGCAATCTGCTTTGCCGCTTGAGTAGCCAATCGAGTCATTCTCACTGGTGGCATTACAGGTTGTATAGCTATGGGAACAAATAATAAAATCAAATGTTTGTGGTAATTTTAAATTATTGTTGTGGCAACATCAGAACTTACCTTTTTTCTCTTTGTCCAACACTTTCTTTTCAGAAGCCTGTCTTTGACCAGGTCGGATTGCTGGAACATCACTCCCATTATCAATCTATTCAAAAGATTAGGTACTATGTGATTTAATTGCATAATGAACCAAACCACCACATTTTTAATGTGTAAATTGACCCCTCATCTGAAACCTGATATTGTAAATGACTCAGCAAAAAACCCACTACCCCAAATAAAATGAAATGAAGAAACTAGTTTTCCATTATATACGTTTCCTTACAAGCTTTTTCAGAATCCTAGAATTTAGAAAATGCTAATAACCTAAGCTATTAAAAAATAACTGACTATAATCTTCTGAGACTCCTTTAACATACCAGGCATGTTTTCAATTCAAGACCTTTGAATTTTGTCTAGAAAATTCTTCTCCTGGAAGAAAGCTCTTTCCCACAGTTCACTCTTCTACTTCCTTAAAGACTTCATTTAAAATGCCACCATCTGGGCTTCCCTGGTGGCGCAGTGGTTGAGAGTCCGCCTGCCGATGCAGGGGACGCGGGTTCGTGCCCCGGTCTGGGAGGATCCCACGTGCCGCGGAGCGGCTGGGCCCGTGAGCCATGGCCGCTGAGCCTGCGCGTCCGGAGTCTGTGCTCCGCAACGGGAGAGGCCACAGCAGTGAGAGGCCCGCATTCAGCAAAAATAAATAAATAAATAAATAAATAAAATGCCACCATCTGGGGACTTCCCTGGTGGCACAGTGGTTAAGAATCTGCCTGCCAATGCAGGGGACACAGGTTTGAGCCTTGGTCTGGGAAGATCCCACATGCCACAGAGCAACTAAGCCTGTGCACCACAACTACTGAGCCCACGCACTGCAACTACTGAAGCCCGCATGCCTAGAGCCCATGCTCTGCAACAAGAGAAGCCACCACAATAAGAAGCCTGCGCACCGCAACAAAGAGTAACCCCTGCTCGCCGCAACTAGAGAAAAGCCCGCGCACAGCAATGAAGACCCAACACAGTCAAAAATAAATAAATAAATAAATTTATTAAAAATAAAATAAAATAAAATGCCACCATCTCAGTGAGGCCTGACCAAAATTCCACCCTATACCTACTTCAAAACTCCCCACCTCCCTTCTTCTTCTTTTTTTAAATCTCCCTCATAATACTTAATACTTTTGACCATCTGACACACTATATAGTTCTTTTTTTAGTGCTATCTCTCATGTAAGCTCCTTGAAAACAGGGAATTTTGTTTGTTTTGCTCAGTTATATTCTAGAGCCTAAAGGAACATGGTAGTGATTCAAATTCATTGAATACATGAAACTTAGCTTCCTCACCTGACAAAGAGGCATACTATTTCCCTCTTTGCCCACTTGACTTTATTTTAGTAATCCTCCTAATAAGTTTATCCATAACCGTGTTTTGAAGACCCATAAGTTTATAACACTCACCCTGTATGCTTTATATTCCTATCTGCACTTCACGGTGACATGGGATGCATAATAGAAGCCCGGTAAACAAACAAAAAAGAGTGTGGCACAGAATTTAGTATAAATCTCATAAGGGATGTCTGGGCAAAGAATATTTTAAGTGACTATTTCCTTAGCATCTAGCCATATCTGCTCTGCCACCATACCAAAACAGTGATTTTGGTAGTACTATTGACTCTAATAAAATAATCACTATGCTTGAAGACGGTATTAGATTAAAAATAAATTTACTTACTTTGAGGAAAAAAAGTACAATTTGTCATTTTAGTAACAATGACCTACTAACTATCAACTATACCTTTGTCAGCTCCATTTGGTCTTTGGCCTTTGACCTTGTAATCCGTACAGAAGATGGAACAGCCTTAAAACAGTCAAAAGAAGATAAAGTTAAAAAAATAAATAAATAAACTGGCAAAATTTACTTCCATGTTTCATTATGAAATAAAGTTTCCATTTTAAAGTTAAATTTTATCCTTAATAATTTATGGCAAAAAGATACTTGCTAACTTAATTTTTTTTTAATTTAAATTTTAATTTTTTTGGCCGTGCCGTGCAGCTTGCGGGTCTTAGTTCCCCAACCAGGGACTGAACCCGGGCCTCTGGCAGTGAAAGCACTGAGTCCTAACCCCTGGACTGCCAGGGAATTCCCTAAGTTATTGTTGTTTCTGGTTCTGGCTTGATTTAAATTATGTTTAAGTTAATAACTTCAAAACTTACCCATATTTCTCAATGAGGAGAGAGAAGAAATTTTAAAGCATATTTTCCAAGTATTAGGATCCTCATTAATATGATTAACTAGACATATTTAAAAGGGGGTAGATGAACAAACTAGAGTATTAGGATCTTTTGTTTTCTGTTTATGAAAAGATGCTGTACAGCTTACTTCCCTAGCTTTGACAATTTGCCTTCAAATCTCATGATTATACACCTGTCCAATGTCAGTAAGAAAATGGAGACCTAATCACAAAATGTGAAAAAAATTTAGCATGAGAAAGACCAATTAAAAAATTATAAGGTATTTATCAACTGTAAAATTTCTTAAGAAACATAATCAGGGACTTCCCCAGTGGTCCAGTGGTTAAGAATCCACCTTCCAATGCAGGGGACATGGGTTTGATCCTTGGTTGGGGAACTAAGATCCCACACACCACGGCGCAACTACGCCCGTGCGCCACAACTAGAGAAGCCCATGTGCAGCAACGAAAACCCAACGCAGCCAACATTAAAAAAAAAAAAAAAAAAAACCACAACGATGTGTCTCTTGTTCCTCCTACATATATTTTTAAGATATTTTAAAATAGTTGTTTACAGTGTAGACCAATTATTGGTATCTACATATTCCTAAAAAGACAGCTTAAATCTAATCCCTTCTAAGAGGTCTTCTTTGATGTTCCTCCAAATATAAACAATCTATCCTTCCTCTAATATAAAGAACATATTTATCTGTATCTTTCCACCATGAACTACAGTTTATTAATTTTGGTCTCTTCTACAGTGTCCTAAGATCACACAGAGTAAATAAATCAAAGATCTGTCAAATGAATCATTGAGATTCATGAAGCCTAGAAAAACAAGCAATATCTTCAGCCTTTATATTATTCAGTTCTTATTTAAATCAGGAATGAATACACAGTCAATGAGATCTTTTATACATATCTTTAAATAGCAAATCAGGGACTTCCCTGGTGGCGCAGTGGTTAAGAATCCGCCTGCCAATACAGGGGACACGGGTTCGAGCCCTGGTCCACAAAGATCCCACATGCCGCAGAGCAACTAAGCCTGTGCGACACAACTACTGAGCCTGCGCTCTAGGGCCCGCGAGCCACAACAACTGAGCCTGCGTGCCACAACTACTGAAGCCTGCATGCCTAGAGCCCGTGCTCCGCAACAAGAGAAGCCACCTCAGTGAGAAGCCTGCGCACCACAACGAAGAGTAGCCCCGGCTCGCTGCAACTAGAGAAAGCCCACACAGAGCAATGAAGACCCAACGCAGCCAAAAATAAATAAATAAATAATAAATAAATAAATACCAAATCACCAGTGACTAGCAAGTTTACAAATCCAACTGATCTGTTCAAACTTCATCCTTCCTGATTCACTAACCATTCTCTTTAGATCACCCCTCCTTTAGCTTCTATCCTCCATTTTAGCTCTGCTGCCACTCTGACCGGTACTTTTCAGCCTATCATTGCCCACCTAAAGGTGTTCTCTAGACCTCACTCTTTCATAATTTTATATACCCTAATTGGAATGGTCTCATTTAGTCCTACAGCTTAAATGTCCATTCATACTCCCAATATCATATCCAAAATCCACATCTTAGCATGGATCCCCAACCTGATTTCCAAATTTTTATTCCCAACTGCCTGATGTCTAGATGGCCCAAATAGGATTTTTTTTTAAAAGGGTATTAATATTCACCCACTTAAGCTTTTCTTGCTTTCCTCACCTCTTTTAGCAGCAGCAAAATTTGTATTCTTGATCAAACTATTATCTTCAGAATCATCATCTTATCTCTAACTCTTCAACTTCCTCCACCCCTCACCATCTACTTGGTCACCAGTCCTATCAAATTTATCTCTTAAGATGTCTTACATGACACCTGTTAGAATGGCTATTATCAAAAAGACAAGAAATAATAAGTGTTGGTGAGGATATGGAGAAACAGGAACCCCTGAGCACTATTGGTAGGAATGTAAATTGGTGCAGCCACTATGGAAAACAGTATGGAAGATCCTCAAAAAATTAAAATTAGAACTACCATATGATCCAGCATTTCCAATTCTGAGTATTTATCCAAAGGAAATGAAAACACTAACTCAAAAAGATATATGTATCCCCATGTACATTGCAGCATTATTTACAATAGCCAAGACTTGTAAACAACTCAAGTGTCCATCACTTGAGTGAGGTGCAAGGTAGGTGAAATGGGTGAAGGTCGTCAAAAAGTACAAACTTCCAGGTTTAAAATAAGTAAGTCCCGGGAATGTAATATACAGTATGGTGACTACAGTTAATAATACTGTATTGTATATTTGAAAGTTGCTAAAAGAGTATATCTGAAATGTTCTCATCACAAGAAAAAAGTTTTGTAACTATGTGTGGTGATGGATGGTAACTAGACTAATTGTGGTGATCATCTTGTAATGTATACAAATAATGAATAATTACAGTGTACACCTGAAACTAATATGTCAATTATATCTCCAGAAAAATGATGTCTTAAACCTATTTCTTCTTTTTTTGGGTTTTTTTTTTTTTTTGCGGTACGCACGCCTCTCACTGTTGTGGCCTCTCCCGCTGCAGAGCACAGGCTCCAGAGGCGCAGGCTCAGCGGCCATGGCTCATGGGCCCAGCCGCTCTGCGGCATGTGGGATCCTCCCAGACCGGAGCACGAACCCACATCCCCTGCATTGGCAGGCGGACTCTCAACCACTGCGCCACCAGGGAAGCCCCTTATTTCTTCTTTTTAAACAAATGCCTCAGTCCACTTATCTCATCTCACCTATTCTATACAGAATATTCACAATATAGACTTACAACTGGTCTTCCTATCTATAAATGCTTCCCTTTCTAGACTATAATCCTCAAGTCCAGGCTAATCTTCCCTGAGTTTTACTTTGATAATGGTACAACCTCATTTATAAACCTCCCTTGACTCTCCATATCCTAAAGGATAAATGCCAAATACTATGGTATAGCATTCACTGTTCAGCCTGGCTCTGCCAGCTTTCCTAAGTTTTATCCAATCTCAACCTAAATATAGCTACATCAAGAGACCCTGTTTTCATCTTCGGAGTTACTATTATGTCATTCCCACCTCCTACCAACTAATTAAATGAATAAAGGGACTCAGGGGAAATGGTTATTTTAGTCATCTAATCTCCTAAAGAAAATTCCAGTTAAAAGGAACTATTCCTCTATATCAAGTTAGGATACTAAACTTACCTTTTTTGGCTCAGCTTTCATAGTATTCTGGTTTGAGAAAAGAAAACAAGGAATATCAGGTCTATAAAGACCCACTTTAAATACTCCTCGTTTAGCTTTCTCTCTCTGCTCTTTCAATTTTTGAAGCTGCTTTTCTTCTTTGTATTTTTGGAGCATTTGTTTTCGTTGATCACCTAGAATAGTTTTCACTGACTCTAAGTAGGAAAAAGAAAAAAAGAAAAATACAATATATAAAAAATTTCAGATAAAAAGTTAGGCAAACAACTTCTAACTTCAACTGTTGCTAAGAAATGCTTTTAGTAACTTCTTGTTAATTCCTTAGCACTTCAAGTTATTTCCACCCCTATTTTAAAGTTCCTATTTCTTTCACCTTCATTTGTTCAAATATATAACTGTTTAGTATGTACTAGGCATGTATTACTTCACTTTTAAATTAATTAGCTTCTATGACAGTCAGCTTCCAAGCTGACCTCCAGCAATTCTCACTTCCTGGTAGACATGCCTTGTATCATCCCCTCCCATACTGAATAGGGCTGACCTGTGTAACCAAGAAAGTACTGTGGAAATGATAGAGAACGACTCCTACAACTAGGTCATTAAAGACATCACAGCTTTTGTCCTGCTCTCTCTTGGATCCCTTGCTCTGGAGGGAAGCCAGTGACCACGTGGAACCTTAAGGAGACTCAAGTGGCCCCATGGAGATGTCCACATGACAAAGAACTAAGGCCTCCTGCCAAAAGCCAGCATCATCTTGCTGGTAATGTGAATGAGTCACCTTAGAAGCAGATCCTTTACAATAATCAAAACAGGGACTTCTCTGGTGGTCCAGTGGTTAAGACTCCCAATGCAGGGGGCCCGGGTTCAATCCCTGGTCGGGGAACTAAGATCCCACATACCGCAACTAAGCCTGTGCACCGCAACTACTGAGCCCAGGCACCGCAACTAGAGAAGCCCATGTGCCACAACTAAGAAGCCCGCGTGCCGCAACTAAGACCCAGTGCAGCCAAAAAAAAAAAAAAGCCAATGTCCTTATAATGATGGCCCTCAGGGCTCTATGGGAGCTAACCTGTTTGCCTTCTCTAGCCATGCTTACCTACTTGCTTTCTCTGGAACATACCAGACCCACTCCCACCTCCAGGCCTTCGTAAATGAGGAATAAAAGAAATTCTAATAGCATATTGACAAGGTTAAATTTTGTTTGAAAGATTTTGGTCGAGGAAAGAAGCGTTTGAGAGGGTACGAGTAGAGGCAAGGAGACAACTCAGAAGGTAATGTCACCTCTTCTCAGACAGAAAATGTCTAGTTCTTCCTTCAAAGGCCATCCTATATAATCCTACGACCCAGTGTTCATTTTCTCTGAACTCCTAAGAGATGTTATTCTTTACCCTATCCCCCTCAACCACCAACCCACTTCCTTTGACCTTCAAACATAAACTGATCACTTCATCTCAAAAACAAAGAAGTACCCAATTCCTTTCTCTCACTTTACTTTAGAATCACAAAAATGACAAATATGGAAGAAATAGTTTAGCCCAACCTCCCCTTTTACAGAAGCAATTAAGCTGAATATGTTGAGTGTCTTGTACGTGTCACACATTACACTGGTTCTGGAAAAATGATAAAACTGAAGTAGTGAACACGTAAAACAACTTGACATCTCATTTCTTTCTCTATAAAACTTCTAAGACTTCATCTTTCTGCCATTTCTTCACAATTTATCCTTGCTTTATTTCACTGCAATCTAGCTCCTAGTGCCTGCTATATAAACACAACTAAATAGGAGTCCAATAAGTCCTTCCGATTAAATGCATGTCATTTCCCAGTTCTCTTCCTTCTTTTCTATAGCATCCCTTGCCTTCTAAGACATCCATTTTTATTATGTTTATCTCTTGCTGAGATCATTCTCTTTTCTGGTTGGTTCTTTCCCTCCTAATTACCCCAAATCCTTTTGGGCAAACTACAGGGATGAATCCTTTGCTCTTCCCTCTAAGAACTGTTCCCATTGGCAAAGTACCCTTACTTCATGGATACTTCAATCAGTTCTATTTTTATGTCCCTTATCAATTTATCTTGTCAATATTTATCTTATCCAAGCTCCAGAAGTAAGAACTTTAGGATTCCTGTAAGGTCATATAGGTAAAAAGTGTTATAATACTCCATAGGCGAGTGGCTTTAGCCTAGCTAGGATGTCCACAGCCTTTACTTGAGTGCTTTTTTTGGGGGGGGAGGGGGGCATGCCAGGCAGCCTGCAGGATCTTAGTTCCCCCACCAAGGATCAAACCCGGGCCCCTGGCAGTGGAAGTGTGAAGTCCTAACTACTGGACCATCTGGGAATTGCCAACACAGCCTTTACTTGAAATAGACAGTATTTAGTTGCAGAAAACACCAAGTTATTTAGAATGGCATTTCAAAACTCCATTCTTGTGGTCAGGGTTGTTTTTAACCTCAGGTATTAAACCAACTTTTATTCACTCTTCAAACACTTGAAATTACAATAGACTTTTACTTACTTGGCTTGACATCAGCCTTTTCTGGAACAAGCTCATGAGATATCTCATCTAATTCAAGAAGAATTCTACCTTCCAAGGTTGGAACGTTGACATCTTTCAAACCAAAGTGTCTATTTCGTTCATATTCCTTATGTCTGTTTTCTTTCTGAGACAGTGATTTCCTATGAGCAATTTTAGTTCTAATCATGTCGGTACTTAATTCCTTTCTGTGTCGACTGGCAAAATGTGATGAAGCCATCCTATCAGGAAAAAGAGAGAAAGACCAACTTATATGAAATTTCATTTGATTATTTAAAAAGTTAGGATTCCAGTTCACCTCCTACCCCAGAGTCTTCTGAAAAAAAAAAATTAAAATACAGCTCTCTGGGCTCAGACTTAGGTTGTGGCAACATGGCTAAATGCACCAAGGTCAGAATCGTGGGTAAACACGGGACCCATGTTGCCTCCCTCAGGAAAATAGTGAAGAAAACTGAAATCAGTCAGCACGCCTAGCGCACTTGCTCCTGTGGCAAAACCAAGATGAAGAGACAAGCTGTGGGCATTTGGCATTTCCTGCATGAAAACGGTGGCTGATGGTGCCTGGACCTACAACACCACTTCTGCCGTCACAGCAAAGTAACCAGAAGACTGAAGGAACTGAAGGACCAGTAGAAGGCCACCATTTAAAACATTGCTAGCCTATAATAAATGGGTTAATTTACATAATAAAAAATACAAAATGGAATAAATATGTGACTGAAGAGTGGGAAGGAGGTTATCAAAAGATAAAACACTACAACCTATTTTGGGGTTCTGAACAGGAACTTGCTTGACAGATGAAGTGAAGCCCAGGAAGCTAAAGTCCAGAATATAAATAAGAGGGTCTAGGCTTACCATAGAGAGCACTGCAAAATAGAGTAGGAAGTAAAGGTGAAAATAGGGATATAGTATACAGAATAGTTTCCTTAACTTTCCCCTGGTGATGAATGCAGGCAGGCTGGCATTTTTTCTCAAGCCAAAAAACAAAACAAACAAAACACACAAGATGCCTATTAGGTAGGTAGGAATGATAAATAGGCAGTTAGATATACGAGCTTGAGAAAAAGGATTTTTTTTTTTTTTTTTTTTTTTTTTTTTGCCCAAGAAGGGCTGGTGAAGTACCATGGTGATGCAGGATAATCATATCAGTTTGCCCTGGTGAGGGCAGAATAAAATTCTTTTCGGCAATGTAAGAAATCATAGTTTACTTGGCATATGCTCTTTTCTTAGAAAGATCCTTGGGAGAACAAGAAAGACAATGTCATGGGTTCCAAGAAATCGTGGATCCAACTGAGGAAAAGAATAAAGGAAAGTGGAAAGTCTAAGGCATCTCCTATACAGCTGGTATGGAGAACAATCAAGCCAAACTGGAGAAAGAGGACTGATTCTCCAGGGAAAAGTCTTGCCAGCTTAAAAGAGAAGGTGGTGGTGGCGGGGGGAAGGACGGAGGTCTGCCATTAGAAAGTTAGGGCAGGAATAAAGAGGTAGACATAGAAAATGGACTTGAGGCCATGGGGTGGGAGGGGGAAGCTGGGGCGAAGTGAGAGTAGCATCGACATATATACACTACCCAATGTAAAATAGCTAGCTAGTGGGAAGCAGCAGCATAGCACAGGGAGATCAGCTCGGTGCTTTGTGACCACCTAGAGGGGTGGGATAGGGAGGGTGGGAGGGAGGCTCAAGAGGGAGGGGATATGGGGATATATGTATGCATATGACTGATTCGCTTTGCTGTGCAACAGAAACTAACACAGTATTGTGAAGCAATTATACTCCAATAAAGGGCTATTTAAAAAAAAAGATATAAGCACACTGTACCTTCAACAACAAGAAGAGAGTCCACTAGAAAAATGCAGATAAAAAAACTGCACAAGAAATGCAACAAATTAAAATGTACTATTTTAGGCAATCAACAGAGTATAAAAACGTGAGAATTCATCTGACCTGGATGCTAATAACATTGTCCTTTAAGGGCCCAGGGGAAGTGACAAAGGACTGTGCTTTTTTAATCAAGAACTCTCCGCTACTATTTGATTTGCCACTTCCCGCAATTATTAAAGAAAAATTAAAATTACGTACTAGGTATTTAAAAATACAGCATAGAACTATACACGGCAAAGAGAGAGAGAGAGAGAGAGAACTAACACCGAAGGCATATTTAATTATCACCTAAACCCTAAAAGGTATTTAGTATAACTGCCGTTATACAGATGAGGTAAATTAACTGCCCACATTTGCACAGCTAAAAGACAGTGGAGCTGGAATCTTAAGCCAGGAAGCCTGGCTCTTCACACACAGAATCTAAGTTCTCTTCTTTGGCTGACTGGAGTTTCTTCCAGCTTAAAAGTCTAGAATGCCTTAGTTTTGCTTGCCAAGGCTGTCAACCCAGGCGTTTTTAGTTGTCACAGAACCTGGAAAGAGCCACTGGAATAATGTTGGGGCCCAAAGCCAATAACGCCCCGGTGGTGAAATGATGCTGCTACACAGATCATGGCAACAAATATTTACTCTTCCGAAGGACTGCGTCATCAGCTTCGGGAAGGACAGGTAACACGGTCCTAAGAGGAGCCTCCCCTGAGCGGCGTCCAGCTCGCAGCCGCCGGTCCTCCGACCCTTCTAGACCTTCTAGAAGGAAGCGGACCAGCGCCCTCCCCCAGCTCCCCAGCATCCACCTACCTGAGGCAGCTTCTAGCGTGAAACCTCAACCAAACTAAAAGTAAAGGAACCCTCTGGGGCTGGAAGACCACCGCCGCCTCCGCAGAAGGAACGCCTACAAGACTCGGCAAAATTCAAACTTCCCGCATCGAACTTCTGATTGGAGGTATTTTAAGTAACACTTCCTGTAAAAGTACCCGCCTCTTCCCTTCGCCGAGGCTTGCGATTGGTTAGCTCCTTGCTATATTTGAATTGATTGAAAGATGAACGGACCGTTCAAAGGGTGGCTGTGAGCTGAATCAATGGGCGGGTCCTCGATGCGATATTGATGAGGCGGGAGCCGTGGGATCGCTGGGGCTGGCGGGGAGCTGTAATGGCCGGCGGTTGACAGGGCCTAACTCTGAAACCGCCCTGGAGTTCCCGAGACCTCGCGGGTATCCGAGAAAAGACAGAGGAACTCGGACGGAGGAGTGGGGACTCAGAGTCTGCAGGGCTTTTTAATGTCCTCATTTAATTACATAAATCCGGCAGGGCTTATTGGAATATTTTCTTCACTTAACGTTTTAAAGAAAGGGCTTATTACCACATCAGATTTCTCCTTACGTCTTTTACTGTTACCTTTCAGCGTTACCAGTCTTTTTTTATTTTCTCGTCTTTTTTCTTTTTAAATAGAGGTAAAATTATCAAATAGTGCAAAGCATGGTTTTTTTAGTATATGATTTGATGAGTTTTGCTAAATGTAAACAGCTGTGTAACCACCACCCAATCAGGATATAGAGCATTTCCATCACCTGGTTCTCTCAAGCCCCCTTCCAAATCTCCCACAGCTTAGACAATCACTCTTCTGATTTCTATCACCTTAAAAATAGGAGTGGTAGATACTCTTTCTTGTCTGCCTTCTTTCTCCCAGTGTAATGTTTTCGAGATCCATCCCTACTGTTACATGAATCAGCCGTTGTTTTTATTGCTGAAAAGTATTCCGTTGAATAATTTGCTTATCCATTCTCCTGTTGATGGATATTGGATTGTTCCAATTTTTAGCTGTTATGAATAAAGTTGCTATAAACATTCTTGTACAAGTCTTTTTGTGGTCATGTTTTATTTCTCTTGGGGAAATGTAGGTGTGGAATTTTTTTTTAACTGAGTTCTAATTAACATACAGTATTAGTTTCAGGTGTACAACACAGTGATTCAATATTTTTATACATTATGAAATGATCACCACAATAAATCCAGTTACCATCAGTCACCATACAAAGTTGTTACAATATTATTTACCATATTCTGTGACATTTGTTTTATAGCTGAAAATTTTTACCTCTTAATCCCCTTCACCTATTTGGTCCTTTCCCTGACACTCCCTCCCTGGGCAACGAACAGTTTGTATTCTGTATCTATGAGTCTGTTTCTTGCCGCGGTCCAGCCGGAGGAAGAGGATTTCACCGCCCAGGGTCAGAAGGGAAGGGGTAAGGAACTGAAGTAATACCGACGAATGGGGTCAGAAGGACCAAGACAACTGATGGTTGCAACGCAAATTTTATTATGCTACAGTTGCAGATTATATAGACTAGAAAAAGGGAGGTTGGTTGCCAAATGGTGGTTTACATCATCTACAGACTTTCTCGGCTTCAAGGTTAACTTCCCTGGGAGAAAACCCATAAACCCAGAATCATCCAAAATAACCTGCACGTGCCGAGGGGAGACAGCTTTGCTTGTCTCATTTTACATTCTCTCTGATCTCTAGGCCCTGGTGATTTATCTCCCATGGAATGAAACAAGGAGGGAAACAAGTAGGCACAGTCCCTTGGAGCAGCGGCGGCATGCCTGGCATGTCCGCAGCTTGCTCTCAAGGCTGACCGTTTCCCACAGTTTCTGTTTTGTTTTGTTTGTTTTGGTTTTTATATATAAATGAAATCATATGGTATTTGTTTTTCTCTGTCTGACTTATTTCATTCAGCATATTACCCTCCAGTTCCATCTATGTTGCCACAAATGGTGAGATTTCATTCTTTTTTAATGGTTGAGTAACATTCCTGTGTGTGTGTGTGTCTGTGTGTCTGTGTATACTACATCTTATTATACCACCGACTCATCCATTGATAGACATTTAGGTTGTTTCCATATTTTGGCTATTGTAAATAGTGCTGCAATGAACATAGGGGTATATATTTTTTGAATTATGTTTTCATTTTCTACAGATTAATACCCAGAAGTGGAATCACTGGATCATATGGTAGTTCTATTTTTATTTTTTTACGGAACCTCCATTACTGTTTTCCACAGTGCCTGCACCAATTTACATTTCCACTAACAGTGCAAAAGTGTTCCCTTTTCTCTACATCCTTGCCAACACTCGTTGTTTCTTGTCTTTTTGATAATAGCCATTCTGACAGGTGTAGGGTGGTAGCTCATTGTGGTTTTGATTTGTATCAATATTTCCCTGATGATAAGGGAGGCTGAGCACATTTTCATGCGTCTATTGGCCATCTATATGTCTTCTTTGGAAAAATGTCTATTCAGGTCCTCTTTTTTAATCAGGTTGTTTGTCTTTTTGATATTGAGTTGTATGAGTTCTTTATATATTTGGATATCAACCCCTTTTTGGATATATCTTTTGCAAATATCTTCTCCCATTCAATAGGTTGCCTTTCCATTTTGTTGGTGGTTTCCTTCACTGTGCAAAAACTTTTTAGTTTGCTTTTGTTGCCCTTGCCTGAGGAGACATATCCAAAAAAACATTGCTAAGACCAATGTCAAAGAGGATACTGCCTATGTTTTCTTCTAGGAGTTTTGTAGTTTCAGGTCTTACATTGAAGTCTTTAATCCGTTCTGAGTTTATTTTTGTATATGGTGTAAAAAAATGGCCCAATTTTATCCTTTTGTATGTAGTTGTCCAATTTTCCCAGCACCATTTATTGAGGAGACCATCTTTTCCCCGTTGTTGTTCCCCATTCCCCATTCTTGCCTCCTTTGTCATAGATTAATTGACCATATAAGCATGGGTTTATTTCTGACCTCTCTAGTCTGTTCCAGTGATCTGTCTCTTTTTGTGCCAGTACCATACTATTTTGATTATTGTAACTTTGTAGTATAGTTTCAAGCCAGGGCGTGTGATACTTCCAGCTCTGTTCTTCTTTTTCAAGATTGCTTTGGCTCTCTTTTGGCTATGAATAAAGTTGCTATAAACATTCTTGTGCAAGCATGTTTGTGGGCATGTTTTATTTCTCTTGGGGAAATATAGATGTGGAATTTCTAGGTCATTCTGGGTATGCTTAATTTTATAAAAAATTGCCAAGCAGTTTTCCAAAGTGATTGTACCATTTTACATTCTCACTAGTGATGTTTAAGAGCTCATGTTGTTCTACATGCTTGCCAACGTTTGGAGTTCTCTTTAATTTTAACCCCTCTAGTGGTGTAAAATGGCATCTCATTTTAATTTTATAGTTCCCCAATGACTAATGATGATGAGCATCTTTTCACGTGCTTACTAACTTTTTTTTTTTTTTTTTTTTGGGGTCTTCGGTCCTCTACCTGTTGTGGCCTCTCCCGTTGCGGAGAGCAGCCTCTGGACGCGCAGGCTCAGCGGCCATGGCTCACGGGCCCAGCCGCTCCGTGGCATGTGCGATCTTCCCAGACTGGGGCACAAACCCGCGTCCCCTGCATCGGCAGGCGGACTCTCAACCACTGCACCACCAGGGAAGCCCTATTAACTATTTTTATTTCTTATTTTGTGAAATTCCTGCTCAAGTCTTTTGCCTATGTTTTTTTAAAAAATAAATTTACTTATTTATTTTTCACTGCTTTGAGTCTTCACTGCTGCGCATGGGTTTTCTCTGGTTGCGGTGAGCGGGGGCTACTCTTTGTTGCGGTGTGCGGGCTTCTCATTGTGGTGGCTTCTCTTGTTGCGGAACACGGGCTCTAGGCACTCGGGCTTCAGTAGTTGTGGCACGCAGGCTCAGTAGTTGTGGCTCACGGACTCTAGAGTGCAGGCTCAGTCGCTGTGGCATATGGGCTTAGTTGCTCCATGGCATGTGGGATCTTCCCTGACCAGGGATCGAACCCGTTTCCCCTGCATTGGCAGGTGGATTCTTAACCACTGAGCCACCAGGTAAGTCATGCCTATGTTTTTAAAATTGAGGGTTATCTTTTAAAATTTGGTTGTCTTTCTAGTATTCAGTTGTAGCAGTTCTATCTATTCTGGGTATAAGTCCTTTTTCAGATATATGTATTTTGAGTATATTTTCCCAGTCTGTGCATTCACTTTTTAAAATAATAAACCTTTAATTTTAGAATAGCTTTAGATTAACAGAAAAATCACAAAGGTAGTAAAGTGAGTTCCGATATGCCCCACATCCATTTCCCCCTGTTACATTAGTATGGTACATTTGTTACAATTAATGAACTGATACAGATACATTATTATTAACTAAAGTCCATACTTTATTTAGATTTCTTTAATTTTTACCCAGTGATCTTTTTCTGTTCCAAGATACCACATTATATTTGGTCATCATGTTGCCTTAGGCTCCTTAGACTATGACAATTTCTTAGACCTTCCCGTATTTTTGGTAACCTTGACAGTTTTGCGGAGTACTAGTCAGGTATTTTGTAGAATGTCCCTCCATAGGAATTTGTCTGATGTTTTCCTGTAATTAGACTGGCATTATAGGCTTTTGGGAGAAACACCGTAAAGGTGAAGTGCCATTCTCATATCACATCAAGAGTATATCTTATCAACATGATTTATTACTGTTAATGTTAACCTTGATTATTTGGTTGAGGGAGTGTTTGCCAGATTTCTCCAGTGTAAAATTATTCTCTTTCCCCCTTTCCATACTGTACTCTTTGGAAGGAAGGAAGTATGGGCAGAAAATACTTAAGGACTGAGAACATATACTCTAAATTCCTGAGCACAAAATATGAACATGAAAACTACTTGTAATTATTCTGCATGGGAAATTTGTCTCTTCTCCCCCATTATTTGTTTATGCAATCACTTACATTAGAATTTGTGGTTATTTATTTTCTGCTTTGGGTTATATGCTAATACTACTTTACTTTGTTGCTCACATTGCTCTAATTTCAGCCATTGGTAGCTCTTTCAATTTGTTCC